TAAATAAAACAACAGGGAACACTTAAATAAAACAACAGGGAACACTTCAGCTTTAATTTTTCTGAACTTTTTTTAATAAAAAGAGACAATTCTCTGCAGTTTCAAGTTCTCTTTAATTTTCCATAAACTGTTCTGCAGAACTTCACATTTTTCTCTGTAAGTTTGGGACAAATTGCACAGAACCTCTGTGGAAGTGTCTCTACAGCTTAATACGGGTCAGAACCTGTAAACAATAATTAAATAATAAATAATTCAACAATAAATACATCTTTGTTCAAGCCTTCACGAGCGACAGATTGTTATTTTTATTAGTTTATGATCCGGATCAAACGTCTCCTGTCGGCTCAGTTTGTGGACTTTGCGGGTCCAGATAAAATCCTCTGGTCCCGTGTGTCGTCACTCTCTAGCTGATCGGATCCACCACCAGAACTTTGCACTCCCTCTTGGCGATCTTGTCCAGCGACAGCAGTGTTTTGTCCTGCGGCGCCAGGTAAAGGGGCCGGCCCACCGGAGACCCAACAGGAGGCGTGATGGCCCGTCGCTCCATGGCGCTGCCCGTCCTGCCGACCCAACACCATTCAAAAAATACATTACTTTCACAAACAAAGAAGGTGAAGATACATTTCACATGGAACAACAGGAAGTCCAGACTCCGTGCTCCACCTTCCTCATGAGCGTGGAGGCTTGAAGCGCTCTGTGTTGTGCTGTGCACGTGAAGTTTATTAATCATTCTCCACTGGACTCACACAGAAACTCATGGGTTCAAATTGTCTGTCCCCTCATATTTATATTCAAATTCAATAACGATAAGAGTATGGAGAGATGCAAAGAACCTTTAAATGAACCAGTCTGTCTTAGTCCAGTGTGGGGTAATCAATAATTTACAGCTGGCAGAGCTGATGCAACGTTTAAAATATGGAAAGACAAAGGACTCCAAATAATCCAGAATCTATTGACCAGACTCCGACGTTCTGATGAGTTTCACTGAGAGAAGAAAGACTTTTAAACATCTTCAACTCAGAAACTTCATAAGAACGAGTCAAAATAACGAGCGGAAAAATCAACTTTGGAAAAAATGTTGACAAATGATTTTTTGAATAAAGGTATTACATGTGAGTTTATCAATGACGTTTCTGAAGGATGCTTGACTTAAGGCCTGGAAGGAAGATTTATTGTTAGTTATCTGAGGAAGATGGCAAGAAGCCTGCAGCCCATACAGGTCTTAAAAGATCCAGTTCAAATGGTTAATGTGGGTTTATATAAACCAGTATAAACCAGTAGACCTTCACAGGTTTAATAAGGAGTCACCTGATGTCCAAACAGAAGACTCTGGCTCACCGTGCTACTCTACAAAACTGTGCTGTTTGAGAAGAAGTAAAGGACGTAAGTGAGGAAATCATTTCTAAACAAATAGTACTGGATCCAAAGTTGTTCTTGTATGTGTAGTGAACTAGGCCTGATGTCAAAACCTTGACCTTAGGCACCTTATGGGACAGAAACTGTCATTTCATTGATTTGAATCCAGAAATACAGGTTGACCCATCCTGAGACTTTCTTTCTTAAATTAATCAAGTGAAAGAAGACTACTTTCGATTATCATTACTATTTTACAAATGTTTGATAATCAAATTGTGTTAGTTCAAACAATGTTTACATGTTGAAGTGAACTACTCATTTTTAAATCAACTGTGAAACAGTAATAACGATTTTTAATCCTCATTCAAAGAAGAAATCAGGTTAATGATGCATTGTCTGATTTTCTGTCTTCAATGAGCAAGTGTGTAAGTTGGTCAAAGTTCAAGTTTCGGTCAACTGCAAGTTTACTGAAAAAGAAATGTCATGTTTAACTTTTACAGCAAGATACTGGAGAAGTGACTCCACGAAGTCTGAAGTTCTTCATAATATCTTCTGTCTGTTCTTAAACAATCTTAATCTTTTTCCTTGACTTTTCATAACACCTTACATCACAAAACACACCTCTGTTTTGGTCCATCGACCAATCAGAAACTCCCAAATGAACTGGAAATAGAGCTCTTTAAATGTTGGCACTTCCTAGTTCAACCCAGTTGGAGTAGATGGAGAGTTCTGCAAGAGGTTCCACCTCGAGTTGGAGTCGGGTGGAGAGTTTTTGCAGCTCCAGTCGTTTGGGAGAACAGAAGTCCAGCCATGATTCAAAGCTCTTCCGAGTCTTTTGGGATTATGACATCTTCCACCTCTGAGTGGAACTTCTGAAGGACTCCACTCATGTGAGTCCACCGTGAGCTGAACTGTTGTTGACGAAGTCGTGTCACCACTCCGGACGGTTCTCTGCCATCCTACGGAGACGCTGGACCGGTAGCGTAGCTGGAGCTCCGCTTCCACTGATTCATCGTCAGAGAGGTAATGAGTCGAGTTGACTACCGAGCGTACCGAGGAAAGCTGGGTCGAATGGAGGGTGTCGTTCTGTCCAACACTTTTCACTCACACACACCATCTCCCTCCCTCTAAACTTCAATCTTTAAACTCTTCTATTCTGCTAAGAAATCATTCCAGATATTTTTAGAAATGTCTGAAGCAAAGTTTTTCAACCACCGCCGTGTGGTTAATGTCTGTGGTACCGCTGGAAGTAAGAAAACAATCGCCGTATTGTTTACTTCCTGTAAAACTGATTAATAAGCTGTCGTTATTTTCAATTCTTGCCAATTAATGTAAATGTGTGATGTGTTAAACTTGATTCTGTTAATAAATGACCCACTGTCGTTGGTGAGTCAAAGATAATTAACGTTTCCGTCCACATTTTTTATTAAATTCAGATGCACGTCATTATACAGTCCAGAAAAATGAAAGAATCCGTTTTATCTATGAATATATGACAGCATATATTCATACTACATGCGGACTGTACCCAGAACACACAACTGCACTAAGAACGAACAAACATTTATAAACTCAAGTTTGCTCAACCACTGGATCCGACAGATGTTAGACGAAAGATTACATCTGCATTAAAGGGCAAACAGGAAGTGGCTCGTCTTCGTCATGTTCGTTAACGAGCTGAACATGCCAGAAGGACTGAAGGAGGCGTGCACCGTGGTCCCTAAAACACAAATGCTTCTCCTAAGACACGTACGCTGTGGTCTTTGACGCCTCCACGTGCAGACCGTGTTTGTCATGGGCTACGTCAAGATCAAGATTCTGCGAGGGGCACTTAGTTTTTATTTTATACGAGTTGCTTTAATTTGGTTTAGACTCCGTGCTTCACGAACACATCACTGCTACATCTTGCAGAACGTTTGAGCTGTGTTTGTTGAAACTGATACAAATTCAATGAAGATATTTTGGAAACAAAAATGTGTAAAAGAACAGAATATGATCCATTTATTGGGGTTTACCTCATGATGTGGGATCGGCACGGCTGCTGGTGCGAGAAGGACTGAGACCGACCCAGACTGGCCTGGTGCCGGTCCAGCAGGTCCCGGACCGCTGGGCTGGACGGGCTGTTTTTACCTGAGGAGAACATTTTAAAATATTTTATTTACTATATTTTCTTCATTGAAATACATGGAGCTCTTTTTACTTTGAAACCAGCTTCGGCTGCTGCCTGCTTTTGTCTTCTGCAGCGACTTTTAGCTTAAAGCTAAGGTTTAAGCTAATTCAAGCTAATCAAATCTCTCCTACTAGTCAATGTTCAGCATTGCTGTTTTTATTCTAATTTCAGCTTTTTGCAGCTAATTCCACATTTTTTGCAATCATTTAAACATTTTTTAGCTTAATTCAGCAAAATCATGCTCTCCCCACTTCCTTCTAGTAATTTAAGCTTCTTTCCTCTTGTTTTAGCTACTATTCGGCTGCTTTTGACAAATTTCTGCTTTTTTTCAGATAAATTTCACATTTTGTGCTCATTTCTTTTTCTTTCAGCCTAATTAGACAAACTTGTGCTCTTTCTGCTTCCTCCTGCTAATTAAAGCTTCTTTAGCTACTATTCAGCTAATTAAAGCTTCTTTAGCTACTATTCAGCTGTTTTATTAAAATTCTTCAGCAATAAGCATTCACATTGAATGTATTGAGAAATACAAATTCTTTAGTTTAAACAAAAATTCCTTCCATTTATTTGTCTCAATGTTTTCTTTCACGATCGTGCGCAGTCGTCACGTGCTCTTTGTTAAACCAGGTCTCTGTGTAAACGAGTCCTCGAGGCTCAAAGACACTAACCTGAAGAAATAAAGGTTGAATTGAGATTTAGCTCATTTAAGTTTATCAGGAGTTTTGTTCTAACTTTCCCTCAGTTGAACTTGTTCAGCTCTCAGAGTTTATTTCTTTATTTGAGTTAAATCTGATCTAAAATAAAACAAAGATGAAAAACTTTTGTGCTTGCTTCAGTTTGAACGACGGGGCGGCTCCAGATCCAACATGTGACTCACATTAAACACAGAATCAAAATGTTCTGATGCTGCTCAAACAGGTGCGCCCGCACCTCCCCCCCCCAGTGTGTCCCCTACCATCATACAAGCAGACGGAACCGAACTGCGCCCACACCCCCACCTGTCGGCACTGATGTAGCGCTAAGCTAGCGGCGCACAGTGCAGGCGCGCTAGCTAAAAAGCTAAAAGCAACACCAGAAGGTCATTTGGAGGTGAGACGGTCAGACCAGCTGTCAGGCACGGAGGTGGCAGCTTCATGCTGTGTATAGAGTGAAGAGGACTACGTCCAGACTCTTCATCTCGATTCAACAGATGGACGGTCAGAACTCAGACACAGCTGGGTCCAACAGGACCATGGACCTGTCATCAGAACTGCTTCCTGCAGCTCTGTTTGGAGCGACAGGTAAAGATGGCGTCGGTTCTTACGTGACAGCGGTCGGGCGTCGGGCGGGGCGGTGGAAGCAGACGCTGTGAACTGAAGCTTCAACTTCATGTGTTGACTCAGCTGGAGGACAGAGCAGAGACAGGAAGAGGACGGTGAGTAGAATCGGGTCAGGTTCTACAGGAACCTGCAGGACCTACTGACCTCGTACAGTCCTGGTTTGAGGATCTGGAAGGCGACGCTGAAGGACAGGGTGCTTCCTCTGCGGCAGTGGCCAAGGTTGTTGAGCGGCGTATGACAAACCACAGCCGCCAGCGCCGCGTCCTCGCCCTGACCGCGACCTGGACCGGGTCAGAAGAAGACGGTCAGGCTTCAGGTGCAACTTTTCCTCCAGTACGTCAGCAGTTACATTCCTGGCTGCAGGTCTGACCTGAGTTCATCAGTTTGAAAAAAATCATAAAAATCCCACGGAGTCCTTAGTGAAGTCCAACACTTTACTTTTGTTGCAAAAATCAAAACTTGTCCAAAATGAAAGAAAAGGAACTAGAGAGACAGGGAGAGGTCAAAAAACTGTGTGGCTCCACCTACTGCTGACAGCACGACCAATTACCTGCCAATCAACCACCCCCACCCTCATAATCCTCAAAACACCTAATCTGACACTGCTACTGAAAAATAATATAACTCAAACCTCGAATAAATCTTACATTTTAATCACTGTATTACAAAATAAACTAAATATCACACCTACACCTTATCATTTAAACGAAGCTCAGTGTATCACCTATGAACTCAAAACTGTAGTTACATTTGTTAACCATTGTAGCATAGAATAGAAACAGCCTTTATTGTCCCACGGGGGGACATTCAAGTGTAACAGCAGCAACAGCATTTATAAATTATATTTAGGCTCCAACAGTGAGAATTGTCCCATTACGCACCGATATAAACACTTCCCCTATAATGATGGAACCAGCTGTAATTGTACAAAGTATCCAGCAGAGGGCGCATGAAGACAACATTCAAGTCATGGCCGTTCACTTAAGTTTCACTTTCAGCGCAGCCGAAGCAGGAGCAACACTGTGTAGTGTATTTTACTGAACAGAGCATGATAAGTTTATTTGAACTGATCTGTGAAATAAACCAACAATAATAAATTCTCTTCAATCCTCCAACCTGCTTGTCTTTAGCTACCTGCCTCTCAAGTTAGCAAGCTAACATTTAGCTAACCTAGCATCAGCTATTACCTTGTAAAACTTTATCCAGGACAATAAATGTAACGTAGAGGTAAAATATATCAGTTAGTAACATTATCTTTGTGTCCTCAATGAAATGTATCGTTTGTCTGAAATCTACTTCTCTACAAAGAAAAATAAACTCTGCTGTGGTCGATACTAATCAGACCTTCACCGTACGTGACTGAACAATGAACAGGAAGGAGTTTCTTTGATTAATTTATATTTTCGAACACACTTGACTTTGTTGAATGGTGGAGGATGGAAAATGTGAGCGCACGTCAGGAAGACTGTTTCAAGACTTCAAGAGTTAAAACAGGTTTAAAAGCTGTTTCTTAGATTCTTGGGGGCGGACAAAGATCAAAGATTTTCAGCCAATATACAGTATTGATTATAGGCGTTAGCCTTCCCCTCTCAATATCAGTATCAGCAACAGCCATAATTTCCATATCGGTCGGGCTCTAGTCTAAAGAGTAAAGTTGGAGCTGCTGGTTTTTGTTGATTTAATGTATTTTTAATTAAGGTTTACGCCTGCAGGATGAATAATACAATAAAAACAGGATGTTCTGATCAGCTGTAATTAAAGCTGGACTTCAAAAATCCTGATGATTAGTTTTGTTTTCAGCTCGGGTTATTCTCTGGGCCTTCATTCCAGAACCATTACATCAACAGAAACTTCACATAGACCTCACATTCTCCTCTGGTTCCAACAGAACGTTTGGGTTCAGCATCAGTTCTGTTCAGGATCCACTCAGTTTGACTTTGATTTTCTGAGTGAAACCTTTCAGCTTCAGACTAAACCTGTTCAGCTACTCTGAAACATTCACCCCTCTGACAGCTGCTGAAGAAACCTGAAGAAATAAAACACCTGGAGCAGAACCTCGGGCTAACCTTCAGGGGTCCAAACCAGCCGGACGGCCAGGAAGTCGTGCATGTTGTTCAGCAGAACGTATTTGACCTTGAAGCGCTCCTTCACTGCGACGGTGCTCGGGCAGCTGGCGGTCATAACAAACCGCGGGCGGTCCAAACGGATACTGGGCAGCCTGGGGGGGGGATGAAAGAGAACAGAACTTTTTAAGCTTCATTTAGCTGTTTGTTTAAGCCACATTGGATACTTCTCAGGAATAATCTGAGCTTTAGCTCCTTAATAAACTGCTCAGATGTACTTTGCAGAATGTTGGTGTAGATCAGAGGGGAGTCCAGTCCTGGTTCTGGATGAGTGCTATCCTGCATGTTTTAGAGATTCCTCTGCTCCAACACACCTGATATGAATCAGTGGGTGATGAACAAGCAGAACATGAGAGGTGGTTCAACAGTTGAATGAGGTGTGTTGGAGCAAGGAAACAAGTAGAACATGGAGGAGAGTGACCCTCCAGGATCTGGATTGGACACCAGAGGACTGTAGACTCTCAGTCATCCAGGATAAAGCACAACCAGGAAGTTTAAAACAAAAAACCTGGACTTCTGTTTGTTCTGTACGTGAAGACGTTTCTCCTCCCAACCAGGGAACTTTTTCACTTCCAAACTAGAAAGAGTGGAGTTCAACCTTACAGCTTAATAACAGGCTCTGTTTCTGCAGCTGAATCAAGATCAATCTACCTTCCCTCACTCCTGAGGGTCATCAGGGTCTTTGTCACCCTCCTGAGGGTCATCAATTTGTCTCCCTCGTGTGGGTCATCAAGTCTTTGTCTTCCTCCTGAGGGTCATCAGGGTCTTTGTCTCCCTCCTGAGGGTCATCAGGGTCTTTGTCTCCCTCCCTCCAGAGGGTCATCGGGGTCTTTGTCTCCCTCCAGTGGGTCATCAGGGTCTTTGTCTAACTCCTGAGGGTCATCTGAGTATTTGTCTCCCTCCTGAGGGTCATCAGAGTCTTTGTCTCCCTCCCTCCAGAGGGTCATCAGGGTCTTTGTCTCTCTCCTGAGGGTCATCAGGGTATTTGTCTCCCTCCCTCCAGAGAGTCATCAGGGTCTTTGTCTCCCTCCCTCCAGAGGGTCATCTAGGTCTTTGTCTCCCTCCCTCCAGAGGGTCATCAGGGTCTTTGTCTAACTCCTGAGGGTCATCAGGGTATTTGTCTTCCTCCTGAGGGTCATCAGGGTCTTTGTCTCCCTCCCTCCAGAGGGTCACCAGGGTCTTTGTCTAACTCCTGAGGGTCATCAGGGTATTTGTTTCCCTCCTGAGGGTCACCAGGTTCTTTGTCTCCCTCCAGTGGGTCATCAGGTTCTTTGTCTCCTTCCAGAGGGTCATCAGGGTCTTTGTCTAACTCCTGAGGGTCATCAGGGTCATTTGTGTCACTCCTGAGAGTGACTGTAAGAAGACAGTGAAGAGTTGGTGATTGGTGTTTTTGTTTGGCTACATTGTGATTTGTTCACGGGAATCTTTTGAGAGATGCTTGTTTTCCACGACTGCCCGACGTCTCTGCCTCTGGTGTGACGATGACTGGGCAGGACGAAGGGTGGGGGCTGGCAGGGCTGCAATCAGGACGCTCTTAAACACCAACAACTTTGTTTGTGTTTGTCAGGATGAGTCAGAACTCGAGCAAAACAAGGCAGGAGAAGTTCTGTACTTGTAATGCAGTGACTTGCTGTGAGTCTGGCTGTTCAAAGCTTTGTAATAAATTTCATGACATCCTGATTCATGCTTTGATCACGTTTATCCCTGATGGTTTGTAAAGCAGGTTAACGACAGAGGGTTCAGGAGTTTTAGACGGGCTGAAGCTGTGTAGGTCAAACAAAAATAAAAACCACTCAACAGAGGAGGTGGTCTCAGATTCAGTCCAGCTGTTTCGGCTTTTTAAATTTTAGGACTAAATCTGCACAAACGGACAGAAAAGTCAAACTTTCGCTCTTAGAGCTGACGAGCTGAACTAAAGTCTACAAACTCCAACTCCCCAACAAATGAACCGGTCTCAAAAAACCTTTCACCAAGTCTTTCATGAGAGAAGCTGTAAAAAACCAAATGAGATGAGAACGTTTTCTCAGACAGCCCGTTAACAAAAGTTCTGATCGTAGGTGTTTCACCTGGACTAGAGGAACAAACAGATTAAAGGTCAAGGTGTTACCTGTAGTGGGTGTAGATACAGTTGGTGAAAGGCATCTTGGGAGTTGACCACTGCAGCACAGCGACCAGAGGAACCTCCAGGCCCTGAGACAACGAGGAGCCAAACAAATAAGAAAACGACCACGCCTACAGTTTTATGATTCAAGCTTCTTCACTTGTCGTTCCACCTCATGTGGTACAGGAGGTGGAACGACTTTATGTTCAAGGGTCCCAGTTACATCCAACAAAAGTATTAAAATGTAAAAGAAAAACAGTAATAGGACCTAGGATATGAACTAAGGAACATTAATAAAAATGCACTAAGCACTAGTAGCATCAAGACAACGCACCGAACAGCAGCACGAAGGACCGCAGTGACTCTGTGTCACAAATATTTATTCAAAAATAAAACCAAATGCAACGTTAGTCACACTGAAGCCTGAATGCAGCAGAACAAATTCACTTCAATTAAATGTCCTTCAGACCTCGTTGGAGTCGTCCTGCGGCGTCTCGTTCAGGTGAAGCTGGAACAGGAAGTCGTGTTCCTCCAGAGCGCTGAGCATGTTGGGAAGGCGGCAGGCGGGGCTGTCCATGCGGCTGAAGGACGCCATGCCGACCTCACCGGACTGATGGCTGATGGGTCAGAACATCAGAAACACGACAGACATAAAAACGAGACGGTTCATCCGAAACCAGAACTTCTGGTTTCTGAAATATTTAAAACTTTATTTACTAACGAGACAAAACCACAAATTCGGATCAGAAACAAAATGGTGGCTTAACAGGAAGTGCCACCACACCAAGAACATAGAACCAAGAGAGTTGGAGCGTGAACCGAACGTGAAGCCACGTCTGAGGAGTGAACGCACCAAACGTTGTCCACCAGCAGCACGGAGCCGTCAGGCATCATGGGAAGGTACGAGGCGTTCAGGTTCGGTAAAATACGAACGTCTCGAACATTCACCTCCTCCTGGGACGATTCGTTCAGAACTGAGGAGGAATCAGCTCCAGATTAATAATCTGAACACGCTCCACATAATTTAATGTTTCAGACATTAAAACTGAAAACAAGCTGACTTATCAAAGACGTAAAACAACTAAAACTAGAGAAATGGCATTTCTTGCGAAAATATAGTGTGAATGCTTACTGCAGAAGAACTTGCTGAAAAACAGCTGAACTTGTCTAACAAACTTTCTAAAATGTAGCTGAAATGAAAGAACAAGTCTAAGTCAGCAGAAGAAACCAGAAAAAACACATACTCGCTGAATTACGTTTAAATGAGCAGAAATTAGCTGAAAAAAATAAATTAGCAAAAAAAAACCCAGCTGAAAAGTAGCTTAAAAAGCAGAAAGAATCGTAAATTACCAGAAGGAAGTGGAGAGCACATTTTTACTGAATTAGGTTGGAAAAGTTGAAATGCATAGAAAAATGTGGGATTAGCTGAAAAAGCTAAAATTAGTACAAAAACAGCTAAATAATAGCTGAAATAGCAGAAACAGCTGAAACTAGCAGAAACAAAAGAAGTTAGAAGAAGCACAAAAAATGTTGTAGTTAATACTTTGTAGAAAGAATCTGAATGGAGCACAAATCAGCTGAAAAAACAGCTGAAAGTAGCTGAGAACAGTTTAAATGTGCAGCAGGAAGCTGAAAGCAGCTGAAGCAGAACAAAATGTGAAAGGAGCAGTAAAAGGTTGTAAACAGAGCTAAAGATCTGAAGGATGGAAAATGAGCTCAATTCATTTTTTGTGAGGAAAAAATGTCAGAAAAGGCTAAAATATTTCAAACAGCTAAAGTTGCACCAAACCCAAAAGTCAGAGCAGGACTGTCCTGAAAGAGCCGAACATTTCACCATTTGTAGAAATAGCTGAAAACTGCGGGACGAGCAACGTACAGAAGAAAAACGGATCACAACAGAGTGAACGCTTCGTTCCTCACACATTGATCTCTAAACTCATAACGGTTATCAATCAATAAGTGAAAGTATCAGACAGGTTTACGTCCTGAAGGATAAAGACCCAGACACCGGAGACTGAATCGTCTTCTTCTGTTTTATTCCTGCTCTTCTCAACACAAACTCCAAACAAAGCGTGAGCTGCTTTTACACTTGAACAGAAACAGAAGACGGATGAAGAACCTTTGAGGACGACGAGGTGTCTCCCGGAGACGGTCATCTGTTTACAGCGAACGGTCGGCGGCGGCAGGACGGTCAGCGTGGTGCTCACTGCCGGAGAGAACGATCGTTTCAAACACAAACACTTCTGAGCTGAAACTCACAATCAAACGTGAATGTTTAAAAATATTGTAAATGTAGTAATTAACAAGTGTTGTTAATAAATGGAGAAGCTCCGCCCCCTGTGTCTGCACCTGGTACTGCAGGGTCAAGATCTGAGCTCCTGACTGCTTCAAATCTGGACTCATTAAGTGTATGTCTCAAATCATCTTTATTGTGGTCAATTAAAAACATCACAAAAAAGGTAAAGAATATGAAATGGTAAATCAGTCAGTTACCAAAAGAGGAATAGACTGAAGCCGAGGCTTATACGTGCCTAACCTGCTCATAGACTCAGCAGTCCACACAGTGACGGATATCTACTGTCCATACACATAAATACACATACAGTCATATTTAAACATGCACATACAGTAGGCCCTCGATACTTCGCGGTTCGTTTATCGCAGACTCGCTCTATCGCGGTTTTTCAAAGTAAGACTGGACATGACACACAGATGGCTGACTGATGGATGAGCCGCACGACCAGCACAAATTTTTATATAAAATAAATCATTTTTAATTATTTAGCATCTGCTGCACCTTTCTGCAGCCCACACTGCAGGAGAAACTTCCTGCTGCAGCTGATCAGCTGATCTGCATGCAGAGCGGAGAAGTGGGCGTGGCCAAGAGCTCTTGCAGGTGGCTGAGAGCAGCCGGAGGCAGAGAGCGTCTTTCGGCCCATCCAGGCTGAAGAGTCGTACCCTGAGCTTTGAAGGTGTTCAGATCGTGTCTGAAGGTGTGAGATGGGTCTCTCTGCTGCAGGACGCTCAGGTACCCCAGTTCCTGCACCTCCACCTTCTCCGCTTCCTTCTTCCACACCGTCACCATCACCTGCACCCAAAAACACAGACACTGTCCAGACCTGCTGCAACTGAGCCAGAACCTCTGGACCAGAACGTTCACTGGTTAAGTCTCAGTGTTCCCCCCTTCCATTATACAAGCAGGGCACCCCGCCCCGCTTGTATAATGGAAGGGGGGAACACCAAGACTTTATCAACACAGGCCAGCCGAAGGAACAACAACAGGTCCACCGCAAAGTTCAGACAGGACAGGAGGTTCAGACGAGACAGGAGGGCCAGACGAGACAGGAGGTT